CAAGCCTCCACTGACTAGCCGGTTAACCTTTCACATCCCTAGTATCCAGTATAGGTCTTCATTCCATAAGAGGTCCAGTTCCCTGATAAAACTGGAGTTGTGATTCTGGGAAAAGGAGGTTAGCATTCCTAACATCTAATACAGCAGTGAGATGAACCCCCCTTCCCCATACCTCCTTTCATCCTTATAAAAGGGGAGGGTGATGGGGTCCCAGCAACAGCAGCCCTTCCAAATAGCTAGGATTGATAAAGAATGACAATCTACACTATATGATTTATTGATTATTTCCCAGATTAATTAATAAAACTGTGGACTAATTAACCCACATCCCTTGAATCTTTTCTTTCTTCGCCCCAGGTTAGGGCTTCAAACCATCTGATTGTGGATACAGAACAGGTAGCTAGAGATGCAAGGACTTCTATTTTACCTGTTATTTACTGATGTAAATGGCCCCTACTTAAAAAAAAAAAAAGTAGGGTGGACAGTCCTTTGAGAAGTAGCCCACTTAAAGTCAGAAAGAAGCAATTATAAATCATTTTTATGTTATCATTCTTTGAACATTATTTCATAGAACATATTGCAAAGTAGTCAGTGATGGATTTTCTGAAGTATTAAATGCAAACATCACTAAACAAAAGTAAAGGACTATTTCAGAACAACATTGATTTAATTTACCTTTATCCTGTCCATGTATGCTTCCATTTTTAACTGCTCCACAGCTTTCCTTGCTTGAGATATATTGGTTGTGTTATTAGAAATTACTTCCTTCATTCTGTTTTCCCTAGAACAGTCAAAGTTAAAGCATTTGAAAAGTTGCTTTTCTAAACCAATTCATTCAGGCTTGGTTGAACATATATAATGCAACATAGTGATCAGACTACACTTCACTCTCCCTAGATTAACAAAAAACAGGTAAAGTTACCATTGTTAGACTAATAATTACAAATGTTAACCACAGAAGGTGAGGAAAAAAAGCAGTTGTTCAACAATCCATCTCTACTCAATTCCCCTGTACCGCATCTACCAAAAAGCAAAGGGGGAGGGGCAATAGCTTTGTAATTGTTTGCATTGCATGAACTGCAAAGGGATATAAAGATTACACAAATACTATTTCCCTTTTCTCCATAACCTCTCTGCAGGATTGTGAATCTGTGCAATAGGATGAAATTCAAGCATCATAAGAAGTCATTTGGAATGACTGGAACTCTAATTTGAACTAAAAGTGAATGGGAAGTGTGCAAAAGCAGCGCACCCATTCTGATTAGAGACAAATAGTGAATGTGCACCATAAAGTCAGGCGGGGGTGCTTAGCATTATCAATACTAGTAAACACCAGTATCTGGGAAACACTATTAAACTGTATCAGCTGCATCTAAAGAAGTCAAGAGGCCTTTTAAAAAGACTACATTGCAATCATATTGTGTTTTAACATGTGTTAGCTGGGTGAAATGAACATCAGGCTCCCCTCTCAGGTTCACCTCAACCAGCTAACATGTTAAAATACAACTTGCCATATCTTTGCCATTTACTATCTTAAACGAGTTAGTAAAATGTGGGAGGCAGCAGTGCGGAGTGGGGGAGAGGCGGCTCTGAGGGTGCTGGTATGTGCAGCTCTAAAGCTGGGTCCCCATGCACAGGGGTTCCCGCCTCTGATATAAATATACCGGAGGGAGAGGGCTGCATGTAACCGTTAGGATTAACTGATGAGTCCAGGCTCATTGGTAATAATGTAAATGGGTACACGTTCACATCCCCAGAATAAACATATAGGAACTCTCCTACTCTGTTTATTGCACTATGCTGTTTCGGGATATTCAGTGGCTAAGGCTAAAAGCTGTAATTAACAAACACACAAACAAAAACAAATACCCTTCAACAGGACAAATTGTTCCATAATTGCCATTGGGAAAATTTCTTCCAAACCCATATATGTTAGAGGTTGGTCTATGCATAGAAGTTTGTATTCTTCCCAACCCTCAGCCATCTTTTAAAACCCAAATGTTCTTGCTGTTAATGTGCCCAATCTTTTTGAACTCTGCTAAAAATTAAACATGGTTTTCACCAAGTAACTTCATAGTACAGTTATCCTCAGTTCCATGAGGAAAGTTACCTGGCCAAATACACCTCTGATCCCTCATGGTCTCTTCAAGTGTGGTCCCTTTTCAGGTTTCAAGCCTCTAGCTGTCACCTGCTCAAGGTAAAATTACACAATTCTTCCACACTCAGACTGAACTTTGGACTGCATCACCTGGCACCAACCACAATTACCTCACCATATTTGACAAGCTCAGACTCTGCAGTTCTGCACCCTCAGAAAACAATGATTGGTAATAAACAGCCTCCTTAAAGCAAAGCACTATTTATTTTAGGGATGTGAAAGTGTACCGATGAGCCGCGGCTCATTGGGTAACATTCACGGTGACATGCAGCCCTCCCTCCTCCCACACATTGCTGCCTCGCCTCTGTGCCAAAGGCAGCAGCGCAAGGAGGGAGGCAGGCGGGAGCTGGTACATGTGGGGAGACCGCTCTTAAGTTGGCTCCCTTTGCTTACCAGTTCCCAAGGAGCTGCCTGCCACCACACTGCTGCCTCTGTGTCAGAGGCAACAGTGGGGGGGGAGGGCGGGAGGGAGGCGAGGAGAGAGGAGGGAAGGGGGCAAGAGGCAGGAGCCACCACCCTGCTCTGGCATGTAAGCACTGAAATGTAATCAGGAAGAAAGCATGCTAGAGAATACAGACTTTAAAACAATAAATCATCTTCATTTGCAGTTACATAGATAGTATTGTGAAGCTGAGGGTTGGGCTGGAGCTCAGGATCTGACACAGGGGCGAAGGGGAGAGGGAGAGTGGGTTTCAGAGACTGAGTTTCTGCTTGAGCAGCAACTTCCAAGAGCTGGCTACATTAGGGATGTGAAAGTGTTAATGTGTACATGGTTAACTGATGAACCTGGACTCATTCGTTAACCTTCAAGCAGCCCCCCCCCCCCCCGGCTCCCTGTGTGATTTGCTCCTCACCCCTCTTACGGGGCCGCTTAAAAGCTGGCTCTCTGTGCACACCAGCTCTCAGGAGCCGCTCCCCCTCATGCATGTAAACACTTTTACCTAAATCAGTGGTTCCCAATCTTTTTGATCGTACAGACCCCTTTTCAATCTATTAATATTTTACAATTTATTATCTATTCATACAGACACCCCCAAACAATATAGTTCTGCTTGCAGCCTGCACGTCTCTCAGCCCGTGCTCAAGAAGCAGTGTGAGCTGAGGGACTTGCTGGTTGCTGGTCTGTCCTTCCTGTGGCTCAGGAAGCCACGCAGGCTGAAGGGAGTGCTGGCTGCGAGAGGCTCCATACATTTATTTTCATTGCTATTTTAAATTTCCCACGGACTCACTATAGTACCATCACAGACCAGCAGGGGTCTGCAGACCACAGGTTGGGAACCACTGACTTAAACAAATTTTAACATCTCTAGTCTACATAGCTATTTTGAAAGAGGTAGCATGAGTTCCACTAGCCCAACTCTGTTTACCTGGGGTGGGAGGTTCACTCAAAAGTACTTACTGTACTCATACCATTATTACTTATAATCATTCTTAGACTACATAGTAGCTTCATGTCCACCATATCATGCTTATGTCGTCTCCCATGCCCTGATGGAAATAATCTTATGATAGCTCTCTATATCTCTGTTAGTGTGGTCAGCTGGCATTTTTTTATATGAACAGCACTAACCCACATGGCCTTTTTCAGTCAAGAGAATGTTTTATTGGTTAGCATATCACATCAAGCACCTGTTCCCCAATATCTTCCTTTTCACATGCTGGAGGTGGCTTCTGGGAGTTCCAGGACAACACTGAAGGGGATTTAGGACTTATATTTCTACCTCATGCGAAGTTTACTCCCTTTCTGGATGCCGCTAACTCATCCTTGCCAAAGATGACTAATTTCTGGGCTTCATAAACATGCTTCTGAGGAGCACTGTCTTCTTTTAAGGGATCAAATTGTACCAAACAGTGATTCAAAGACTAAATTCTGCTCTGATGTAAGTATGAGTTGCACAAATATTTGAGGGTAGAATTTGGGAGCACCATGCACATTGACAGAGTCCTATAACTACTTACCATTAAGTAAATTTATGTCATGCTGTCTCTATAATTTAACATGCAAGGAATATTAGTTTGCCAGCTTTTCATTGCAAGGTCTTTGTTATTTTAAATATGCAGCACCGCTGGTTTTTAGATAAGCTATATTAAAAATGAATATTTGAAGCCATTGTACAATATTTTCCTCTGCTTCCAAACAATCTTAAACCAAGTGTGCTACAGAATGAGATCTAAAAAGCCATATATTTCCTTATGTCTTCTTGTGGCAACTGAGGTTGAGCTGGAGTTAGTATAGATCATACTGGACAGTCTTAAGAGCTTGTGAGCCATGACATTCCTTCAGAGGCACACAACTTCATAAACATCTTCAACATTTGCCAATCTGCATCTGTGGTGTCCTTAGCTTAATACATTTTTAGTTGTATGTTTTCCAGGAGACAGTAGATTTCTCCTCTCAAACCAGTTCTGTAATTTATTGGGCCAAGCAGGGGACTAGGACTAAACCCAGTTATGCTACCTTTTCTCCCCCCTCCCCCTCCCCGACACCTAATTCTGCTGACTTCCATGGGACTGGTGAATGGCCATGAGTTAAGGTTATTCACATGGGTAATGGCTTGCCACTCAGACCCAACTTGGCAAGGAGGTCCCTATTTCATTCTTCACTTGCAACTGCATTAGGAGCACAAACAGCCAAACCTACAGTTTTGCAGTTGTTTGATAAAGGATAAACATATTGAAGGACTTACAGAATCAAGAGTTAGGAAGTCTGCTGTTGTGGGCATATTATATACATCAGAAGCTTGTCAAAGATATTTGAACCCTTGGCTCATCACACTAGGGACTATAATAATCACTATCTATGCTAGCACACCGCAGCTGCACCATGCATCCTTCTCTGTCCCCCTTTGCACAGATTTTGGAGATTACCGCCGTGTAAAACGGTTCTTACTCTCACCCCACTTAATTGAAACTGCTCTGGTACATAGGACAAGACAGAATCCTTCAACTGTCTCTCCCTTTCCATGATTACATGTATAAGAAACAGATAAAAAAAATCCAACCTTCAAGCTGCCTAGAACTAAATGCCCCGCTTGCTAATGCATGGCTAACTATCATCACTAGGATCACTGTTAACAGCCACAGCAGAGGTAAATGATATGCATGGCAGGACCACACTAGCAGCACTAAGAGAGAGTGCCATTTTCATACTATGTAACAACTTCCAAAACCATCACTACAGTGGGGCAGGAGAATGCAAACAGGAATGTTTTTCAGATTCATGGCTGTAGTCATTGATCCTAGATATGGCAAGATGATGGCAAAGAGAAATTACTTTCCATGCTTTCCACTGAGGCTCTTGGAGAGGTTTTGTCCCTATGGGTGCTCCACTTGTGACATTTCAAGGAAGTGGCATAGCGAGGAACCCGGTGCAAGCATCTCTTGCTACATTTCAAAAGCAGAGGCACAGCTTCTGGGATCGGGCGTGAGTGGGGGCTGCTTAAGTCTCCGCTCACCCTGGGTTCCCTTCTGTGCCTCTGCCTTTGAAATGTAGAGGCAGAGGCAGAGCAGTTGGGACCCTCAGTCTTCTTCTGCTCCCAAACTCCCTCTTGTACCTCCCACCCCACATCCTCTCCTGCTGCCAAACTCCCTTCCAGACCCTGCCCTCCTTACCCTGTGCTACACCCCGCCCTCCCATCAAGATCCTGGCACCCTATCCCACTCAATGGCAGTCCTGTCCCGCACACTGAGCACCTCATTTTTGTTCTCACCCCAGAGCCTAAGGGGGTCCACAAAATCCACTAACTCTGGAACCCCAGAAAAGTAAATCTGGCCTATGGGAAGCCCTGAACCTTAGTCCTCCTTGTCCCTTCCCTTCACCCCGTGGGGCTGCAGTGCCAGAGTGAGGCGTCTCAGTTGGGGGCCACATCAGTGAGGATTGGGGGTTTTTGGAGGAGTTTTTTTTGCTTCTCACTTGTGTGGCCCCAGGCTGATTTTCTGTGGATCAGTGGCCCCGACCCAAAAAAAGATTCCCTCACTTGCCATAAATAAAGAAAACATTGAAACCTTTTGTGTTGGACATAACGTTTTACTTTATTTAAAATTAAGTTTGGTCAACTAACATGAGAAACTTAAAACCCTTAATCTGTTTAATAATGTAAATTAAACCATTTTCCCCAGCTGCAGCCCTAGCAAAATGGCTCGGGTGTAATGATGTAATTATTGGTGAGTTTCCATTAGCAACAGGAAGGTTTGGAGAGGGCGGGACCTCAAGAACGGGGTGCAGGCTCGGAGAAGGGATGGGGTAGATCCTGGCTTGCCATGATATTTAAAATGTGATATTGGGTGTAAAAAGGTTGGAGACTGATATAAAGTATACAAGTGGGTATACCTTTGCCAGTGTAACTCAGTGTTAAGCTTGTTTTATTTTGTTAGGTGCGTGAAAGCTTTCTAGCCCGGGTGATCCATAAATAATATTTATTAAAATTCAACAGCAATGTTTTCTTCTTAAGCAACTGCTACATCAAGTAATACAACTAGCAGACTCCAGGATTTCATGTTTCTCATAATCTCTTATCAAATTCCACCATCTCAGTACTCAGAATACAAGATCTAAAATATGACTGAATTATTTTGCCCTTTCACAAGTACAAATTGTTATAGAATTCACTTAGAAATTCATTCTCATCTTTTTCCATTAACACAATTAAAAATGCAAATACATGATTATTTCATTTCATGCCTCCTCCTTATTGTTTATGACTTTCATTTCTCCAGTTTCTGTTCCATATAAATTCTTTTTTCATATTCACATTTCAGCTATTTTCATCTCCTACTAATTGTATTAGGCTTCCAATTTGTGCGAGTAACATCTGTTCTTTTTCGCTATAATCATCAAAGTTGGGGGGTTTTTTTTGTAATTTTTCTTACAGCTTTTTAAAAGTTTTAGTTCCTCAGCATTTTTATTTCATTCCTAACCCTATTTTATCCTCACACATTTCCTACAAGAGAAAAAGATGCTGAATTGGTTTTCTATCCTCTTCCCATTTTTGCTGGGGAAAATGTAACACTAACATTTATCATTAATTTTATAAAACAGACTTATAAAAAGCTTTGATAGATTTTTGAAAAATGTATGTAATACATAAAAGTACAACCCAACCCAAACAGAGGTAACAATAAATCTGCAAAAAAGATGCTATTATCACTAAGGGATGTTATGAGGCTCATTGAATTAGTGTATGTACAACTCTTCGAGATCATCCATTATAAAGTGTTATTTAAAGGCCTAATTCCTCAGACACATAAGTTTTAATCACATCAGTTCTGCAACTGACTAAACATGACTGTTTATGTGAGGGAAAGATCTGTTTAAATTTTTTCTAGACTGGATTCTAAGTCACAATAGCCCAAATTATCATTTTTCCTCCTTCGTTTCTCCGCTTGCTAGAAGTCACCCTCCTAGAAAACTCTGGGATTTGTGCTGGGTATGTCAAGGAGATGGGTTGAAAATTATACAGGCCAAGGAGGGGACACAAAGGAAGCACTGGGAAATCCAGGGGGATCTGGAGAATCCAGGAACAAGCTGCAGTCCAAAACTCTTCTAGCTTTTCCACAGGATCTTAGCAAGTACTGTGGCCAGCATGCGCATACATGCCTGAGGCACGCTACAGGGCCAACAGAAGCACATTGCTAGGCATCCAGACCTAGCACATGGGCATAGGTCCTCTGTGCAGACATCTCCTAGAAGCTCAGTTATGGGCCACACAAGATGACAACTTCTTATCCTCTCTTTTTCCATTAAAATTAAACAGAAAAAAATAGCTACATATTCAAATTTCCCTTTTGTAAAGGGAAGAGATTAGGTTATTTCAGACTAATTCGTTTTTTAACTACATTTTCATTAGCTTGCAATGAGTTGAAACTCACAAAAGACCATTAGAGGCCCAGAATGCTTCTCAGAAAAGGACCATTTTCCATTGTCAAGGCATTATCTCAATCTGTCTGTGAAACGCAACACAGTTCACAGCACCTTGCCCTTAAACCACCACCAGCACAGCAGTTGTACAGGGGTAATATTTCCTCCACAGACATAAGCTTCTCCTGAAGCCCAGCAGAAAGGCATTTTTGTTTTGCATCTCCGCTGGACCAAGTTGCAAAAGGGGTACTACTAGCGCACCTAACGAAAGGAGCCAACAGCTGAAAGGACGGGGCCTCCTACGCCTGCGTGGATTGCTGGCCGAAACAACAGGACGGCCCACAAATACAAGTTATCTAGTCAATGCAATTCACGGGACCCTCCCACAAGCTCCGAAAAGGGCGCGAGCACTGGACTCCAGGCTGGCACTGACCTGTTCACAGGCGACATCTAGGGCGCGAGGTAAAGCCCCGAGGGTGGTGACGAGTCACTTGGCGGTGCCTCACGTCCACTAACAAACAGAGAGAGATTCCGGATCAGCCTCGCGCCTCACATTACGCCCCCATGAGGGTCCCCGGCGGCCCAGCCTCGGCTCGCAGGCAGA